TCTCTCTCAGGTAGTGAAAATGATCTAAAATTAAACAGTGGTGACGGCTGCACAACTCTTGAATATACTAAAAGCCACAGAACTGCACAATGTAAATGGATGAACTACACGATATAGAAACTATTTCTCAAACCTGTTTTTAAAAAGTAACTCTGGGGGCGCCTGGGTGGCGCAGTCGGTTAAGCGTCCGACTTCAGCCAGGTCACGATCTCGCGGTCCGGGAGTTCGAGCACCGCGTCGGGCTCTGGGCTGATGGCTCAGAGCCTGGAGCCTGTTTCCGATTCTGTGTCTCCCTCTCTCTCTGCCCGTCCCCCGTTCATGCTCTGTCTCTCTCTGTCCCAAAAATAAATAAACGTTGAAGAAACAAACAAAAAAAAAAAATTAAAAAAAAAGTAACTCTGGCAGGTGATTGTGATAGTAGGGCGGCTATGAGGAAGGGAACGTTGGGAAGTCTCTTTAGCTTCCGCTCAATCTTGCTGTGAACCAAAATGGGCTCTAAAAAACAAAACTATTTAAAACAAATACTGGCTTGTCCTGCCTATAGTAATCCATATCATCTCATGGAACTGCAAGAGCCCTGATTTTTTGTTTTGACTCCTCAATTATTTTAGTGTATTTTATCAAGGCAGGGAGGCAAACTGATAATTAAAACACATTTCAAGCAATTACATGTCATAAGCATTTTGGAGTCATCCTGTCAAAATTTCTAAGGAAAGATTCCATTTTTCTGAGTTGCTAAATTCATTAAAAATTATTTCCACTTTTACCAAAAGACTATTTCATTCTTTCCCCCTCCTTTTTCCAACAGGCTTCTTTCAGTTAGCATAATGTCTTAGAAGCCATTCATTTTGCTGCATCTGTCAGTAATTCATTCCTTTTCATTGCTGAGTAGTATTCCATCACACGGACATAAGACCTGCATTTACTCATTTATCAGCTGGTGGACAAAGGAATTGTTTACAGTTTTTACCTACTATGAAAAATACTGCAATAAACAGTCACATAAAAGTCTGTGCAGACATGTATTTTCATTTCTATTGGGTACTTTTGGACTAAATTTGCTAAATCATGGTAGATTTATGTTTAACTTTTTAAGAAGCCGCCAAACTTTTCCCAAGTGGCTGTATTAAATTTTACATTCCCACCCGCAATGTGTAAAGCTTCTAGTTCCTACACATCTTGCCAACATTTAGGACAGTCTTTTTTCTTTTTAACTTAAATTTTAGCCAGTGAGTATGAAAAACACCCAGGCTTCCCCTCCTGTGTTTCTCCTCTACTCTCACACTGCATACTCCTACCACTTCTGCTACCAAACATGTGGGGCTTTTTCCCCACACCCAGCGATTCTGTGATAGCAGCCGGGTATCCTACAAGTCAACTCAACTCTGACACCGTGTGCCTGGAGCCAGTGTCAGATTCCACTCAGGACTCGGTCCCATGAGACTGCTCCTCCCTCCCCTTCCAGGCACCAACTGCAAGTATGAGTGTGAGTCCCAGGTTACACACAGCTTCTATCCAACTGGGCTACAAATCAAAGGATTTGTAGGTTTATTAACTTGCCAGAGCAGCTCACAAAACTCAGGAAAACACATTACCAGTTTATTACAAAAGGATACGATAAAGGATACAGGTGAATGTCCACATGGAAGCAATGGGTAGGGCCAGGTTTGTGGGATGGGGCACGGAGCTTCCACGCCCTCTTGAGGCATGGACTACATAATAGTTCACTCTCTCGGCACATCTACTTGTTCATCAACCCAGGAGCTCCCGAAACCACAAACGTTTTTTTGGATTTTTATGACATCTTCATCGCACAAGCATGATTCATCATTAACTCCATTTCCAATCCTCCTTCCTTCTCAAGAGAATGGGGCTCAGGGCTGAAAATTGCAAGCTTCTACTTACTCAAGGCTTGGTCTTTCAACGCTCATCCTGGAGCTGTCCAGGGTGCCACCCAAAGTTGCCTCATTAGAACAAAAGATACGCCTATCACCCAGGAAATTCCACGGGTTTCAGGAGCCCTATGTCAAGAACTTGGGGAAGAGACCTATATATA